TTTTGGAATGTGATCTAGGGAGTAGCACTTCCTTTTCTTGCAGAATTGGAGTTGATTTATTTCATAATTTATTTTGCAATGTGATTTGGGGAGTACGCACTGCTTTTTTTTTAATTCTTTTTTTTGCGGAGTTGGAGTTGCTGGCTAAGTTGGAACTCTCTAACTTGAGAATTACCTATATAGGCATTCTTCAGATATTTTCAAACTTCTACAAAAGTTTTGAGGCCAACAATAAGAGTATGATACTCTTCTGATAATATCCCTATGATCCAGGTTTTAAGAAGCCGGTCGGACCTTAGTCATGATTTGTAGTCTGAGTTGTCCGGGTTTTCGATTCACTCTTACCGTCAATCACTATTAATGAATCCAAAAGTTCCCGACTCTCAATGAGAGAGAGCATTTGGTTTCCCATAATAAATAATTGTTCTATGTCAATTTAATAGACAAAATTTCCTATATTCGGGGTGGAAGGATAGGGATGTTTGTAAATAAATAGATATTTTACAAATAGATGGATTGACCAAGAAAAGTGAGCAAGAGCTTTTGAACTTTTCAGTGTGTAAGAGAGATTGTAGGCTTTGGGTGAAAATTAAATTAGAGATTATGGTCTAGACGTGAGAGGCTTGGCTTGGGTGATATGGACGGTTTTGATGGTATAAATGAGGGATGCGAAATCAGTTATGGAGGACCTCCTTCAATATGATCAATTTGTAATGGTGAGCGACATGGAGGAAAAAACAAAATGATGTGGAACTAAAAGGGTGCAAAACGATGGAAGCAAAGACGTATGCAAGAAGGATGATGAAAAACCATGGATGGAAGATGGGTGCAAAACCATGGATGCAAAGAAGTAAGCAAGAAAGAAATCCAGTTGTAGAGAGGAAAAATGTGCACGAGATTTTTAAGAAGTTTCCAAAACGAAACATGTACTGAAAAGAGAGTGAGAGACTAATTTTGGATTGAGGAACAACTTATAGCATGAAAAACTGAGATTGGGATCGATGTTTTGCTCTGATACCATGAAGAATTTTAGAGAGAGATGAACTCTTTGAGAAAATAACTGTCCCACAACTCTTGTGGTGGTTTTTTCATTACATATATATATAATGATAATACAAGTGTAATATACATTTTTCCATCTCGTTACATGTAATATATACTTTTATATCCTGTTACATTCTCCTCTCGAAAGGAAATAATAATATCTCTTTTCTATCTTGTAATATATGTTTCTATTTTGGATTTTGTGGCTGTTACTCCCGAATTCAAACTTTCCTATGCCTTAATGCCCAATTATACGAATTTATTAGCTCCATGGTTCCCTTCTTGCTCTATTCCTCCTATTAATATTCATATTTAGTTTGCAAATGCTTATATGAAATTTGCCAAAACGGTCTCTAGACGCACCATCCAAATTGTGACTTAAGTTAGATACTGGGGCTTTTCATTGAATTCAGAATTTGAGTGGAGGTCTATTTTGGTAATTGGCTGGTATTGCGTCCACAGCATGTGGTTCAGATTGAACCATGCTCATACAAGGGCCGAATCTTGCTTTTAATTTTTAATTTTTTATTTAAAATAATATTAATCTAAAATTTTGGTTTCAAGTTCTTTTTTATAAGTAAAATTGAATAAAATTAATTAAAAAATATATTTTGAATGAAAATATTGACCACAATAAATTTAGAGGTTTTTGGTATTTTTATTTAAAATATTTTTTTATCGTTTTTATTCAGTTATATTTATAAAAATACACATACACACCAAAATTTTGATAAGTATTTTATTTAAATAAAAATAAAATAAAATAAAATACTAAACTAATTTTCATCCATTGGATATGGCCATATGAGATCTCAACCCATTGGATGATGTGGACATGATACTTTTCCTTTTGTAATTCAGCAAAGAAAGGGTTCTTTATACATGAAATGAATGGAACTCTATACGTCATAATGTAATGCCCCAAAACCCTGACCACCTAGCCTAGCCTTGATCCCCTTCCCAAGGACATCCACTTCCTTCTGAAAGGAAACGAATCGCCATTGGCATGTTCTATGATCGTACAAATAGCGACATCCTCTTACATGGAATCCTTGCTAAAGAAATTAATTTTTACTCGCCTTTGAAAACTCTGCCAAGTTGACTCGGACTTGGCCGAGTTATACGGCCTCGACTAACAGCCGAGTCGACCTACTCAACTAACAGCTGAGTCAACTTGCCAACTCTCTCTTCCCCTCGCCCTCCCCCTCCCCCTCCCCCTCCCCCTCCCCCAACCACAAAATATGTCACCCATTTTTTCAAGTTTTTTTATTTTTGGGATTTTTTCTACTTTTCGGGTGTGTCTACTTGGATTCACTTGAGTAACTCGGATCAGGCAAGGGCAAGTGATGATCCCGAGGCGAGTATTTAACACTTTAAACCTTGATTTTTACCATTTCTATGAGAGACTTAAAATCAGGGCTCCACTTGTGTTGTCATTTAGGCTATAGGAAAAATTTCAGCCTATCTAGGAAATTCCAAGAATAGAAGAAATAAGGAAATTTATGTAATTCTCCAAGTATAAAAGATACCACACAAAATAGGCCAGATTAAAAACTTCTCTCACTATCTACCCAATTACTATTTTTCTCTCATCAATGAATATATGATAATGCCCCCCTCCTCAAATAACAAGTAGAAACAGTGAAAAAACACTACTTTTGTCTCTCTTTCTTGTTCTCTATAGACTCTCTTCGCACCTTTCTTTAACCGAAGATTTCCTCTTCTAAATCAAGGAAGAAATTTATATAGAGCCGAGGCTCTAAACAATCAACTTAGAGCCCACCTCAAAATTTTCATTAGAAGAGGTGGTTTTGATTGTATCGACATTAAGATGCATGGACATCAGAAAAAAATAGATTTCAAGTTTTGGAAATAGTGCATCTTATAAAGCATTTTTTTACCGTCAATTTTCAAGATTTTCATAATTCTGCTCAATCTACTCTATTTGTGAAACTTTAAATTTTATAATTAAAGATGAAAATATATTTTAAGGCTATCACAAAGATTTCCGATATTGAAACCACATTTGTCGACACTATTTGAAGGTGTTTTACTTTGATTATTTAGAGCCTCGGCTCTATACAAACCGCACCCCTAACTCAATAAACTACTATATAGGGAAATAGAGAGGATTGTATGCTAAACCTTTCAAATTTGTTTCATCAAGGTGTTGTTAAATGTCGGCCGAAAGGTAGATAGGTGCCTCAGATGCAGGGCTGTTTTAATCTCAACTTTGTTGGGAGTTCACTTGGTAACCCGGGCGATACGGGTATTGGGGGAGGTGTTAGAGATTAGAATGAGGTTATCATTTTTTCTTATGTTGGCCCCATTGGCGTTGCTATTGCTAATCATGTTGAATATTCAGCTCTTTTCCAAGGTTTAAAGCTCTTTATACAATAAATTTTGCGGGTCTTTTATTCGGTGGAATCTGATTTGATGAATATGATTAAATGGTGCAACAAGGAGCAAAAAGTGCCTTGAGAACTAAAATCAACATAGTTACAAATTCCTAATATGGCCAAGTCAATGAGAATCTCATTCTATTGTGTGTATAGGGAAGCAAATTCTCTTGTTGATTCACTTGGGAAAAGGGGTGTACCCCTCCCATCTTTTTTGGTTTCTGATGATATAAATCCTCCAATGTAATTCACTTCCATTAATAATCAAACATAATAAAAAAGTGATAATCAAACATAATCAATTCACATTATCATCACAAAGTCTCTCTCTGCACAATGGGTATAGAGAGAGAGTGTGAAGATGATAATTGAGAGATTGAGTTGGTGTTTTTTGTTCTCTTAGGTAATAACATTTTTGTACTCTTTTTTTTCTCTTTTGCTTAGTGAAAAGGGTCTGTCAACTTCAATTTGTTTGAATGAAGTCACATTTATGATAAACTACATTTAATCTTTATATTATTCTGTGCTATTTTTTTCTTACTTTGTTTTCCTTATTGCTTACTACTTGCCAATCTTGAAGTTATTCTGTGTTATTTCTTTCTTGCTTTGTTTTCCTTGTTGCTTACTGCTTGCCAATCTTGAAGTTGTTCTGTGTTATTTCTTTCTTGCTTTGTTTTCCTTGTTGCTTACTACTTGCCACAACACATATTCATGCCCATCCAAATTTAGCCTGTAATGCCCTTGGCACATTTGTGGAAGTGGGAGCACAGCAGCCTGAATGCTGCCAATTTTTAGGGTAAGAACTACCATATAAGCAACACAAATTAGATCCAATCTTCATAGCAACCATCATACCCTTCAGAACTTTAAGGCTCGAAATTCTCCAAAAAAAATTTGCAGTACCAAAAGTTATAAGATTATTTTCAAATCTCGAACCTGCCTCACATTAATCAAACTTCCCACTTCTCCATATTTCTCGGTATTAGTTGTCCCTATACTAATAATTTTACAAGTCATTTCATTCCCCACCAAAACTGAGCTGCCATACAGATTCTGTATGCGGTGAAAAACCAGTTTCAATTACCTCAAGGGGGGATTCTAATGGTGTTTACTTTGATGAATTTCAGAGGTCAAATTAGGGTGGGAGACTTCTAATGGGGCGTATAAAGACGCGAGTTATTGTAATTGGGAGCAAAAAGTTAATTCAACGAAAATTATCAGTATTTAAAGAGTACTGAACTGCGTGTTGGAGTCTACCGTGGAAAGAGGCGATGGATGCTGCTAGTAAGATGGTTACTTTTATACATGTTTAAAAGTGATGTAAAAAATGCCGGCACAGCACATAATCACCCTCTCCCAAGAATCAGTCACCATATTCCAGTGGAAACTGGCCAAGTCAAGAAGGGAACCTGCGGTTCTGCAAACAACGGTTCGCTAGTAAATCGACAATCCAAACCGCCGATCCACCAATTGGACAGGTTTTTTATCGGTACACTGTCTTGTCAAATAATTATAAAGACAGAAAAACTAGAAAAAAATAAGCAAGAGGCAAACATGAGAGAACAGGTGATACTAGAACAAAATAAGTTAATAACACCTCAAGTGCAAGTTAATAACACCTCAAGTGCTACTTCTTTGGTGGAGAACACGCCATCAGACATGCCCTCAAAAAGTTTATTTGCACTCCTCTCCCTAAACCAAAACCAGTAACATGACAAAATCCTAAAAAAAAGAGGAAAAACCCTCTCAAAAGCAGCAAACCAAACCAGCCGAACCAAAGGACAGAGACAACAAACAGACACTCAGTAATGTCCAAAAAAAGAAGAAGATGAGAGAGGGACTCAGGGGACAGAGAGAGAACATATACTCTCTAATACTTGTAATCCTTGACATGAAGACTCTCTGATGCACCCTCCCCGACAGGGGCGTCTCCCTTGTATGTCCCAAGTGTCGCCTCCGAGTTTGCCTTGCACCGTGCCAAAAACGCCTTTTGTGCTGCAGGAATGTTCTCCTCTTTCCCGGCCCAGGTCTTGAGTGTACTCTGTTGGAGGGCTCGCCCGAAAGAAAAGCTCAAATTCCATGGCTTGTTCGTCTTCAGCTTGTTCATTGCATTCAGGTTCAATGTCGCCTCCTCCTCGCTCTGCCCTCCTGAGAGGAACACAATGGCAGGGACGGCTGCAGGTACAGTGCGCTGGAGGGCGCGGATGGTGTGCTCAGCAATGACCTCAGGGGCAACCTTGGGAGCATCGGAACCAGGGGTGACCATGTTGGGCTTCAGGAGGGTGCCCTCGAGGAGCACATGGTGGTCGTTAAGGGACTTGTAGACAGCAGCAAGCACACGCTCGGTGGCTGCAGCACACACCTCAATGCTGTGGGAGCCATCAACCAGGATCTCTGGCTCCACAATAGGTACCAACCCGTTCTCCTGGTGGCGAGAGACAAAATTTTGGAAGATGTTAGAAGTTCAGCTTTGTAGGGTTTCTCTTGCTTCTCTTTTCTGGATCATGTGAGTCCGGTTTCTCCTTTCTTTGGTAAAATTTGAACAAGTGTTTAAAGCTCTGGATCCGAGTTGAGTCACAACCCTGATCCAAAGGGTGACTGGTGTTACTTGGCCAATTATCAATCAAACCAAAGAAAAAATAAGTTTGTGTTTTCTGCTGTTATCCACAACAACATTAAGAAGTGCAGAGACAAGATTCTATGTGACATTAAATGTTTCTATAGAAACATTTCATCGGTTTCTATAGAAACATTTCAACATGAGAGGTTAAAAGGAAGTGTTTTAAGTTTTTAATAGGGGAAAAGTTTATTTATATAAGGTTGCAACCTTAAAATGTAGAATTACAGATGCACCTCGCTGTTTTAATGTTGAAAAACCCTCTATTTGATCATCTCAACATCAAGATGTATGAATATAAAAAAAAAAAAGTTTTTGAGTCTCACAACATCTTGCATCACATTATCTAGGCCGTCCATTTTCAAGATTTCCATACGTTTATAGATCTCCTTGATTTTAACTATTTTTGGAGTTTAAAAGTTTCCAATTAGATATGAAAATAGATTTTAAGATAATCCTAAGAATTTTTTAGGACAAAATTACATGTTATAATAAAAAT